TGGCCCTGCACTGTCCCGGTGCTTGGAATTCTCTGTTTCCTTCTCTCTGTCCTTCCTCTACTCATGCACGTTCTCTCTCTGTCTCTCTATCTCTCCCTCTCTCTCTCTAAAAAATATATACATATACATTTAAGAAAATCAGTAACAAGTCAAAGATGTCCACTTCCACCACTAATATCCAATGTAGTACTGAAAATCTTGGTCATCAAAAGGTAAAAAAAAAGGAGATAAAAATCATACAAATAAAAAAGGCAGAAATAAAACAGTTTTTATCTTCAGATAACATGGCCTGATTGTCTATGCAGAAAATTCCCAGGATTAAAACAAACCAAAAATGTTTTTGAGGTAATGAGTGGGGCTATGTATGATGCCAAGATACAAGATCAACATATAAAAATCAACAGTATTTCTATATACTAAGAAAGAGGTAGTGTGAAAACTGAATTTGAAAATCCAAAACCATTTATAATTGTAAAAATAATGAAATACGTATGTATAAGTTTAACAAATCTTGTATAGGACTTATATGCCAAAAGCTAAACTTGCTGATGAAAGACATCAAATAAAATGAAAATAAATAGAAGGATGTACTGTGTTGATGGACTGAAAAAGTCAAAATAGCGAAAATGTCAAATTTCCCTCAAATTACTCGGTAGATTTAATGCAATTCTTACCAAATTCCAGCAAGGATTTTTATGGACTTAAAGTAGCTTTGATAAAATATATTAGAAAGGCACAGGCTTTAGAAGATCCATAACAATTTTGAAGAATAAAATAGGAGGAATTATTTTGATATTAAATCTTATTATGGAGATTTAATAGTTAAGTTCATGGTATTGGCAGAAAGATAGATACATAGATAAATAAAACTGAATAAAGAACCCAGAAAAAACCCTAGGCAAGCACAGATTTCTGATTTTTGACAAAAGTGCAAAAAAATATCAATAGAGGAAAATAGCCTTTTCACCAAATGGTGCTGGAGCAGAAAAACAAAAGTATCGATCTGAGATCATGATCATAAGTGTAAAAGGTATAACTATAAAACTTATAGAAGAAAACACAGGAGAAAATCTTCAGGACCTGAGGCTAGGCAAAGAGATTGCAGACTTGATTGCTGTGTATAAGACCTTGCTAAGAGAATATAAAGACAAGTAACAGAATGGGAGAAATATTTGCAAACCACATATTTGACAAAGGACTTGAATCTAGAATATATAAAGAACTCTCAAAATTCAACAATATGAAAACAAGAAAAACAATTAGAAAATAGGGATTGAGACATGAAGAGACATTTCAACAAAGAGGATATACAGACAAAGGGTTCAATATCACTAGCCATTAGAGAATGCAAATTAAAATCATTAGACACACCTATGAGAAAAGCTAATTAAAAACAAAAGACAGCACAAAATTCTGGCAAGCATGTGGAAAACTTGGACCACTCATATGTTGCTTGTGGGAATATAAAAATGGTCCAGCCACTCTGAGAGAATATTTGGCAGTTTGTTGTAAACTATACACACACTTACCATACGACCCAGAAATTGCACTTTAGGACATTTGTCCCAGAGAAATAAAAGTTATTAATATAACTTTTATGTAATCATAAAAACATGTACACAAATGTACATAGTAGCTTTATTAATCATATGCAAAAACTGAAACAAGATGTCCTACAATACATTAATGGTTACACAACCACTCAGCAACAAAAAGGAAAAACTATTGACACATGAAAAAATTTGGATAAATATTAATGGAATTAAGATGAGAAATAAAAGGTAATCTCAAAAAGTCACATATTCTATGATTCCATTTTTAGAACATTCTTATCATGATGGAATTATAGAGATGGAAAACAGCTTACTGGTTCTCAGAAGCTAGGGATCATGGGGGTGGGGTAGACGATAAGGGTACAGCAGAAGAAAACCCTGTGGTGATGGAATATGTACAGATTTGTGTGGGTGGTTATACAAATCTATACATGTGATAAAATTCCACAGAAAGACACACACATACACACCAAAGAGTGTGTGTAAAACTGGTGAAATTTGAATAAAGTCTTTGGTTATACAAATGTAAATTTTATGACTTTCATATTATACTAATGTTGTAAAAGACATTGCCATTGGGAGAAACTGGCTGAAACATAAGATTTTTCTGTATTCTTTTTGCTTATTACTGTCATTTGACAATTGTTTCTAAATTAAAAAAAAATAAATGAAGTAATTCAAAGAAGATTTCCAAGCTTTGCACAGTGACAGCATCATAGCCAATAAGGTTTGTCCAAGGCATGATTATTGCTAAAAGAAAATTTCCAGTGAGATATGTCCCTTGTTCCTCTCATTTATATTTAGAATCACTGAACAGCATAAAATTAATAAAACTATATATTTCACTTTCCTTTACGTATTTTAGCTTCATCATAAAGTTTATTTGTAACGAGTTTTGAATTTTACTTGACCCAATACATTTGCCTCTCATTCAAAATAATATAATACTCAGAAGATATATTTTTCATTTTAACCAGAATCAACAATAATTTCCAATCACCTAAATAGTATCACTTGGTCTGAAAGTTTTCATTCAGTATCTAACATTCTCTCAGGAATAAAGAAAGAAAAGCATTTGATTGAATAGAGAATATTTACATTATTAGAGTGTCAATATATAGCCCCAATCCTCCTCTAAACTGAAATTATTCCATTTTCATAAAAACAAATGTGATATTCTAGATGAGATATACTTTAGGTTCTGATGATCAAAGGAAGTTAAAATTATTAGCTTTTCATCTATAGCCTGTGGACTGATTTAAAATGTAATGTTTCAGTGGACTCAAGTCTTGGGCAAGATGATAAATTTATTGTCCCACTGTTTCTATAGAATTCCAGTTTTGATCACCAGTGATTCTTGCACATGTAAATTTTTCAATAAATACATTAAATATGAAATACAAAATATGAAAACCTCTATTCCTGCTAGTGGTTTGGGAGACCAGTGTCTGTCATGGGCAGAGGATCTTGCTTTGTGCCTTTGCTTCCACATGGGCTAACTACAGTGAATAGTCACAACTGCTCAGAACTGACTGTTAAAGGAATCTCAGAACTGACTGTTAAAAATCTCATAACATAATATTATAACATGCAACTGATTTGCTCAATTTGTTTGACAAATCTATGGAAAAATAAAATCAAAGGCTTCACTTGTCTGATCAGTCAGTTTAGTCAAAATGTTTGAGTCAAAACCAAAGTACCAACTTTGGTAAGTTATTTTGGACACAGTATAAATGGGCACCACTGCCAGAAAAGCCCAGATCATAGAGTTGGAAATGTCTGCGTGTGAAAATTCAAGGAGAAATGCAAATTAGTGAGATATGTATTACATTGTCACCCAATTTTACAAAGCACAGAAAGAGGTGGGCTACATGAAGTTTACTCTAATGGTATTCTTTTCATTTTTCTGAAATTTCGACATAATAGCAAAGCTGGCATTTTATAATTTCCATAGCTATAAATCATTTTTAAATCATGATGATATTACTCAAAACAGATGTGAAAACATATGTCTGCCATTGCTGTATAAACCGCTTACTTGTCATATTCTATAAATGATAAATCTTCTACTTTAACTTCACTTCCTTTTATTAACTCAAATATATTGAAGAAAATATATTTTATCTTAATATCACATATATAACTGGTAAATTTGACATCAAAAATTTCAATTAAAAGAGAGCTTTCCACCATAACCTCGGTGCAGTTTAATATGCCACTCCTTTCTATTAATGTCCTCATCAGAATGTGTGACAAACCCATTTGATTGAAATGAGTAAAACTTCCATTCAGAAACACCAGTGTATACCACTGTGTATTTTATGAAAATCAGTTACTGTATATCTGTACTACTGCTCCAGCTGATTTTTCATAAGACACAGTAGTGTGTACTCGAGCACTGCAGCACACAGACCAGTCCTAAATGCCATTTTCACTTATGGGGATCACAGTTCCAATAGAATCATATATCTTATACAACTTCAGATTTTCCTAGAAAAGTTGCTTTGCTACCACGCTGTCCTTCAAATAGTCATGAATGGGGGTAAAGAGGAACAAATTGTTACTGGGTTAAGAATGAGACTTCATCTTTAACTAGAATTTCATTACTTATGTAAGAGTTTGGGTTTTTAAATATACTGACACTGACTTCTTCCATTCTGACAAGTATTTGGAAATCAATCATTTACATCTTGGAGTCCTGGGGGTATAGCCTTTCAGCGTTTGGATAAGAAGTGACTAAACATGTGGCAAGGAAACCAACCATGGATCAATGAAATTAAAATTTCATTCCAAATTCTAATTAAAGTGTCCATCTATATAATTAGGAAGCAAGTTCAGTCTAGAGAAGAAAGAGAAATTTCTCCATTAACTCTCCAGCTCATGGAATCTTTTTTCTATATATTGAGTATCTTTAGTAGAGTTAGAAAAAATACTTCCTATATTGAAGTACAAACAGACCATTTGATGATCTGATAAGTTACCTGTTGGTTTAAGGTCTTTAGCTTACTGTTACTGTTTAACTCATGATGACAGCCACAATGTATAGCCTATAACCTATGCCAATATGTTTTCTTTTTCTTTTACCTTTTAGTCTTCCAATGCTGTACTCAGTTTTCATATCAAGATAGCATACCTTTGAAATTTTTACTCTCCCAATCTTCATTAACCTCATATCTTATGAAAAAACTGTTTTGTGTGTTCTACCACAACTATCTCCTCCCCAAACCCAACAGGTCTTACCTGGTCAGAGTCAGGCCCCTGAGCACTGTCAACATCACACAGAATTGTAACAACTTCAACCCAGGCATCTAAATCCCAGTAGCAAGTGATTGAAGATTCAGAAGATGGCAGCATAGGAGATCGCTGGGCTCACTTCATTCTGCTGATCACTTAGATTCCACCCTCATCAGAATAAATAACCCAGAAAACTGCCAGAAGACCAGCAGAATGGACTCTCCAGAGCCAAATGCAGAGAAGAGGCCCAGGGAAGAGGGTAAGAAGGGCAGAGAGGTGGTGCATGCTACGAGGAATGGCGGGAGGGGCCTTGAGTGGTGGAGGAGCAGTCCACCCGGCAAGGCAGATCCCCCGAAGTCTGGCTTGCAAAAGCAGAGGGGCCGGACTCCATGAATTCTGACAGTCAGCGGGACATAACATCTGGAATGTTAAAAGACAACTGCTCTGCTCTCAAAGAGAAGGGAGGGCAAGAGGACACTCTGAGGGAGAGTGGTTGAGACCTGGAAGGACAGAGCTCAGTGGGGAACAAGGCACAGGAAAGCACCATTTCTCTCTCTCATTCCCCAGCCAAAATTCCAAAGGGAACCATTTCCTATCACTGAACTTGTTTGCATCCTGCAAATGCTCAATGCTGTGCTTCTGTGGATCCATCCCTCAGACAGCCCTGCCTCCCTCCAGGTGCTTCAGGGCCCCTCCTGCAGGGGGCCACTGACAGCAAAGCTAACTAAGCCTGCCCCTCCCACCCCTGTGCACTTTGTGGATCCACCCTAATACACTCTTGGCCAGATCCCATTGAAGCAGCACCACAAGCCTGACAGTGTGCAAGCAGCTGTGGACAAGGGCCACACCACTCCACAGTGAGCCCTGGTCCTGGGAGAGGAGACGAAAAGGTACACACCACTCTGACTGTGGCCCAAGCAGTGGGTTGGGGGCAGACATTGGGTCTGACTGTGGCCCTGCCCACCAACACAAGTTACTCCAGAGAGCACAGGGTAAGTGCCCTAGAGTTTGGGGCCACCAAAAGGACTACCCAAAATGATGAAATGGAAGATATCTCTTCAAAAGAAGCTCCAGGAAGTAGCGACAGCTAACAAATTGATCAAAAACGATTTAAGCAATATAACAAGAATTTAGAATAATAGTCATAAAATTAATTGCTGGTCTTGAAAAAAGCATACAGGACAGAAGAGAATCTATTGCTACAGAGATCAAGGGACAAAGAAATAGTCACGAGAAGCAAAAAGTGTTATAAATGAGGTGCAAAATAAACTGGAGGCACCATAGAATGGATTGAAGAAGCAGAGGAAGGAATAGGTGAATTAGAAGATAAAATTATGGAAAAAGAGGAAGCTGACAAAAAGATAAAAAAATCCAGGAGTATGAGGGGAGAATTAGAGAACTAAGTGATGCACTAAAGATAAATAATATATGCATAATTGGTATTCCAGAGGAGGAAGAGAGAGGGAAAGGTGCTGAAGGTGTACTTGAACAAATCAGAGCTGAGAACTTCCCTTACCTGGGGAAGGAAAAAGACATTGAAATCCAAGAAGCAACGAGAACTCCCTTCAGACATAACTTGAATAGATCTGCACAACTAATCATAGGGAAACTGGCAAAATACAAGGATAAAGAGACAATTCTAAAAGCACCGTAGCAATCTCTTACTCGGCACATCCCCAAAGGCAAGGGAATTAAAAGCAAAAGTGAATTACTGGGACATTATGAAGATAAAAAGCTTCTGCACAGCAAAGGAAACAACCAACAAAACTAAAAGGCAACCAACGGAATGGGAAAAGATATTTGCAAATGACATATCGGACAAAGGGCTAGTATCCAAAATCTATAAAGAGCTCACCAAACTCCACACCCGAAAAGCAAATAACCCAGTGAAGAAATGGGCAGAAAACATGAATAGACACTTCTCTAAAGAAGACATCCGGATGGCCAACAGGCACATGAAAAGATGTTCAGCGTCGCTCCTTATCAGGGAAATACAAATCAAAACCACACTCAGATATCACCTCACGCCAGTCAGAGTGGCCAAATTGAACAAATCAGGAGACTATAGATGCTGGAGAGGATGTGGAGAAACGGGAACCCTCTTGCACTGTTGGTGGGAATGCAAATTGGTGCAGCCGCTCTGGAAAGCAGTGTGGAGGTTCCTCAGAAAATTAAAAATAGACCTACCCTATGACCCAGCAATAGCACTGCTAGGAATTTATCCAAGGGACACAGGAGTACTGATGCATAGTGGCACTTGTACCCCAATGTTCATAGCAGCACTCTCAACAACAGCCAAATTATGGAAAGAGCCTAAATGTCCATCAACTGATGAATGGATAAAGATATTGTGGTTTGTATACACAATGGAATACTACGTGGCCATGAGAAAAAATGAAATATGGCCTTTTGTAGCAACGTGGATGGAACTGGAGAGTGTGATGCTAAGTGAAATAAGCCATACAGAGAAAGACAGATACCATATTGTTTCACTCTTATGTGGATCCTGAGAAACTTCACAGGAACCCAGGGGGAGGGGAAGGAAAAAAAAAAAAAGAGGTTAGAGTGGGAGAGAGCCAAAGCATAATAGACTGTTGAGAACTGAGAACAAACTAAGGGTTGATGGGTGGTGAGAGGGAGGAGAGGGTGGGTGATGGGTATTGAGGACGGCACCTTTTGGGATGAGCACTGGGTGTTCTATAGAAACCAATTTGACAATAAATTTCATATATAAATAAAAAAAAAGAAAAGAAATCTTAAAAGCAGCAAGACAAAAGAAGTCCTTAACTTACAAAGGTCAACCCATAAAGCTAACTGGAGATTTCCTGACAGAAATTTGGCAATCCAGAAAGGGAATGGCATGATATATTCAAATTACTGAATGGGAAATACCTGCAACCAAGAATACTATATCCGGAAGGCTATCATTCAGAATAGAAAGAGAGACAAAGAGTTTCCAAGACAGATAGAAACTAAAGGAGTTCATAACCATTAAACTGGCCCTGCAAGGATTATTAAAGAAGGCATATCTAGAGGAAAGGAGAGGCCAAAAGTAACACAGGTAGGAAACAACAAAGCAGTAAATATGAATACTACCATAAAATTCTGTCAAGGAACTCACACAAAAGAGGATATAAAATATAATAATATATACCTAAAACAGAGGAGAGATGAGAAAAGAATGGCATCAAAATTTAATGACCATCAACTGAATATAGACTGCTATTTAGAGAAGAAGATACATATAAACCTAGTGGTAACCATACATTAAAAAAAACACTAATAACATGCAAAGAATAAAGATAAAATAATCCAAATATATCAGTAATAAAAAAATCAACAAAACATGAAGGAGAGAAAGGCAATAAAGGATCAAAAAAAAAAATCTCCAGAAACAATTACAAACAAGTAATAAAGTGGCAATAAATACTTATCTATCAATAATTATTTTGAATGTAAATGGACGAAATGCTCCAATCAAAAGTCATAGGGTGTCAGAATGGATAAAAAAGACCAATCCAAATGCTGCCAGAAAATATTAATTTTTAATTTAAAGATGCTGGAATATGGAAAGTGAGGGGATAGAGGAACATTTTTTATGCAAATGGATGTCAAAAAGCCAGGATAGCTATACTTATATTAGACAAACTAGATTTTAAAAAATGTTAATGAAAGATAAAGAAAGGCACTACAAAATAATAAAGTAGACTTTATTAAAGTAGACTTCTACCCAAGTAGAAGATACAACAGTTGTAAATATTTATGCATGCAGCATGTGAGTACCCAAATATATAAAACAATTAATAACAAATAAAATGTAATTAATTGATAATAATACAACAATAGGGGATTTTAACACACCACTTACATCAATGGACAGATCATCTAAACATAAAATTAACAAGGAAACAAAAGTTTTGAATGACACACTGGACCAGATTGACTTAACAGATATATGAAGAACATTACATCCTAAAACAACAGAATATGTATTATTTTCATGTGCACATGGAACACTGTCCATAATATATCACATATTAGGCATCGAAACAGACCTTAATAAATATGAAAATATTGAATCCATACCATCCACCTTTCCTAACCACAATGTGACGAAATAAGTAGTCAAGCTAAGGAAAAAAAACAAACAAACTGGAAACACCATAAATATATGTCGGTTAAACAAAATGCTAGTAAACAATGAATTGTCAACCAGGAAATCAAAAAAGAAATTAAAAAATACATGGAAACAAATGAAAATGCAAACAAAATGGTCCAAAACTTTTAAGATGTAGCAAAAGTTGTCCTAAGAGGGAAGTATTTTGCACTACAGTTGTACCTCAAGAAATGAGAAAAATCTGAAATAAATAACATAATCTTATACCTAAAGGAGCTAGATAAAGAACCACAACCAAAGCCTGAAGCCATTGAGAGGAAGGAAATTATAATGATTAGAGCAGAAATAAATGATATATAAACTCAATCAATAATAGATCATAAATGAAACCAGGAGATGGTTCTTTGAAAAAAAATCAATAAAATTGATAAACATCTATCCAGACTTATCAAAAACCAAAAAAAAAAGATTCAATTAAATAAAATCACAAATGAGAGAGTAGAAATAAGAACCAACACCACAGAAACACAATTATAAGAAAATATTATGAAAAACTATATGCCAAGAAATTGGACAACCTGGAAGAAAAGGGGAAATGCCTAGAAACATGAAACTATCAAAACTGAAAAAAGAAGAAATAGAAAACTCCAACAGACTGATAACCAGCAAATAAATTGAATCAGTAATCAAAAAATTCCCATCAAACAAAAGTCCAGAACCAGATGGTTTCAAAGGAGAATTCTACCAAACTTTTAAGGAAGAGCTAGTACCTATTTGTCTCAAACTATTCCAAAAAATAGAAAAGAAAGGAAAACTTCCAAATTCATTCCATGAGGCCAACATTACCCTAATACCAAAACCAGATAAAAACACCACATAAAAGGACTACTTCAGGCCAATATCTCTGATGAACATATACGGAAAAATTCTCAATAAAATTCTAGCAAATCAAATCCAACAACACATTTAAAAATCCTTTACATGATCAAATGAGTTTTCTTCCTGGGTTCCAAGAGTGGTTCTATATTCACAAGTCAATCAAGGTGATGCATAACATCAATAACAGAAAGGATAAAAATCATATAATCATTTCAATAGATTAAGGAAAAGCACTTGACAAAGTACAACATCCATTCATGATA